GCGGGGATGTGGAATATTCTAGAGCTGGACAGTGCAATTGTAATCATAGTGTCAGGTAGGAAATAAGAGAGAGAAAACAATAGAAGATACAGGTTTTATCTGATCTCGATGAAACTTGGTATGCATGTATATATTGATCAGATCTTGGTCAAGTTCAAAATTGGTATTAATCGGATGAATGGTCTTAGAGTTATTGCCCTTGACTTGGTAAACACGCGCCAAATTTGGCTTGTATGCACGATACAGACTAGTTTTTATTCGTTCTTGATCAAACTTGGTATGCATTTATTTATAGATGTGATTTCAGCCGAGTTTGAAATTGGTAACAATAGGATGATTAGTTTGCAGAGTTATTACCCTTGTGTCTACGTCGTTGAGATGTATTTAAATTTGGTGATAATTTGATGAACTGTTTTGTCTTGACTATTTTAAAGATTATTTGAAAATTCATTATGAAACCACTAATTGTTTATCATTTCTGACGGCTGGTAGTGGGCGTATGTTACCTTGCCTGGCAAGCTATCTTTATTCATTGAGCTAGTGTATATATCTTTTTCTCATTGTTTTAAGATCATTTTCTAGGTTTTAAAAGGATGGAGAGGTGAAGTTTCGGATGGTCGGAGACGAGGAGGATGGAGAGGTGAAGTTTCGGACGGTGGGAGACGAGGAGGATGGAGAGGTGAAGTTTCGGAGGGTGGGAGACGTGGAGGATGGAGAGGTGAAATTTCGGATGGTGGGAGACGAGGAGGATGGAGAGGTGAAGTTTCGGACGGTGGGAGACGAGGAGGACGGAGAGGTGAAGTTTCGGACGGTGGGAGACGAGGAGGATGGAGAGGTGAAGTTTCGGACGGTGGGCGACGAGGAGGATGGAGAGGTGAAGTTTCGGACGGTGGGAGACGAGGAGGACGGAGGGGTGAAGTTTCGGACGGTGGGAGACGAGGAGGATGGAGAGGTGAAGTTTCGGATGGTGGGAGACGAGGAGGATGGAGAGGTGAAATTTCAGACGGTGGGAGACGAGGAGGATGGAGAGGTGAAGCTTCGGATGGTGGGAGACGAGGAGGATGGAGAGGTGAAGTTTCGGACGGTGGGAGACGAGGAGGACGGAGAGGTGAAGTTTCGGACGGTGGGAGACGAGGAGGATGGAGAGGTGAAGTTTCGGACGGTGGGAGACGGTGAGGATGGAGAGGTGAAGTTTCGGACGGTGGGAGACGAGGAGGAGAAGAAGAGAAGAGGAAGTGAAAAGGAAGAAGAGGACGCTTACTGTTGCTGCTATGGCTGTGTAATTTTGTAATTTTGTAATTTTGAAATAAAATGTTTCAAATGAAATGTATTTTCTTTGATTTGTGTGAAAACAAGTGAAATAAAGTGAAAAAAGTTGCAAATTGAGAAAACGCGTTTTTCCGTGAGCAATGTCAATTGTAGGCATGGGGGGGGTCCAATATGAAGTTTAGAGACTCTGTTAGGTTTCGGGGAAGGGAGGGTTTGATTCTCCCAAATGTACAGGCCTAGGGTGGAACAGATACTTTATTTAGAAATTGGAATCAAGGCTCCTGATGCTGGGTTTTCTTCTGTTCTGATTCTGATCTGAAATTAGAAAAAAATAACTGGGTGAGAAGTATAGTAAAAAAATAAAAAATAACTGTGTATGGTGTATGTTATGTACTGATTGTTTTTAGTTTACTATGAACAATATTATCATTTAAGTTCTTATTTTTTGAATATGCAACTATCATTTTCTGTTTA